CCACCTGTAGTACATCTGAACTCTATTTTTTCCCTCAGCTCTTGCTGTAATTGATTCTCCCTCACATGTTTCAGCCACGTTTTCTCAGGTTGTTTTTTTTTTCGTTTTTTTTTTATATGGATTTTTTATATGGATTTTTACATTAACTATATATCTATATATCGAGGAGTTTTCAGGAATTTTCCCCTCTTCATTAAGACTTTGCCTTTTGAAATCTTGATATGAATATTAGTGCGTGTGCCGTCATCTAAATGTCAGGAAAAGGCAAATAGCAAAGTGTGCGCAATTTCCTCTTTAGAAGACCTGTGCCGTGATCATCATATCAGACAGCAGAAACTTTTCAGAGCTCTCATTTAATACCCTAAGGAACCTCACTTTTGTGCTCTTTAAAACGGCATTTTGTCATTCCTGTAGCATCTTCCCATCAGGCCACAGGCGTTTAGAGATCGTATTCTTTCACCAAGCACAATGAGGAATTTGTCTCGGTGAATTTGCACCGACATCCAAGACAGTTCCACAATACAGGATTAACCAGCTAAAGGCAGCATAAAGACCTCACGCATGATAGCAAGACAAGCAGATTCATGTAGACTATGAAAAGTGTATTAAAACGTTCGTAACACGGTATGCAGCAAATAATGTGTCAGGTAGTGTGTCCTGGCTATAGGTGGCCAAAATCATTCAGGTTCTCCTGTGTGTTTAAAAGCTTCAAATCCAGCATCATGGGTGTTTTAAAGGCACATTTAAGCTTCTAATGTGTTCAGAAATGCTTTTTGAGTCATTCATAGAGAGATAGTTTTTCACTATAATGATGTTTTGATGCACTTGGTACCACAGTGCCCACCCTCCACTTGCTGCTTTTGCTCCTTTTCAGACCACTGCTGTACTGCTATTTATAGATTTGACAAAACAAAGTGAAACAACCTGCATGCCAAACCATTAAAGGCAAGGAAAGAGTCATTTATGTAGACGCTAAAGGCACTGAGGGAGCAGTCAGAAACGTGGGCAGGCTTGAAGTAGTCGCTTGCTTTTAAACTTTTAGCATTTATTTAAATTTTTTTATTTTTATCAGTATTTTTATATTGATAACAAGACAAATGACCAGGTTCTACAGTTCCCCTTCATCTTCTTTAGCATCTATTGTCTTCTGGCACCGTGCTTTGGACTGAAAGTTGTTGGTGGAGACCCAGCTGGAGAAAAAATTACTGCAGCGTTGAATTTGTATTTGCTGGGTGGACAAAATATGACTCCATTAAATGCTAAAAATATGCCTTAACTGTTACTTGCGAAACTAAGCAACAGGTTACCAGCATGTTCCCGGGATCAGCATAATAGGTACTAATCTGTAGGTGTTGTTTTCACAGTTTGTTGTGCAGCTTTTTACATCAGGTTGCATGAATACGCGATCATTACCTCGAGCTTACAGTAACCACGGGCAGGCAACAGGGTTTATTAACTGCCGCTGCACATGAAACAGTGCACAACTCTTTGCAGAGATATATGAAAAAGAATGAACAGAAATATTTCGTAAAGCCTGGAGACGCAAAAACTGTTGCCCTTTTAAAGCACAAGAAGAATAACATAAGACGTGATTTGTCCTCCATCATTTGTTTTACAGTCACCGTCAAGAAGAAGTTTCTATTGATCGGATTTAATATGAGTGAGGCATGGATGGCATGAGGAGCTCAAACAAAGAGATCCATTCTCCTTTTCTTTGTGTAAATGTGAGGATTAGTTGGGGGGAAAAGTTAGGCTCTGCAGAGAACAATGAAATCAATAAAACACAGACTCCTCACAGAAAGAGAGGTAACTCTGCATCGACTACAGGCTGCTCACACACTCAATCAGATTAACTAATGAAGCAATTATTGATCCAAAGTCGGGATGTTAGCTGGCGCAGGACTAGCCATTAAGTGGATCTTCCCCTCCCTTGGCCATACTGAAAATGTCAGGGTCACTGTGTTCGCTTCTTGACACAGTTTACTGAAGCCCAATCTGTAGGAAACCAATCACTCGTCTGCCTCCCACCGGCGGTTCTGAAAGGGGCCGACACCTCCACGGGATGGAGGAGAAATTAGATTTTCAGCAAAATTTGGAGAAGAGCCAAATTAACCCACTCCATATTAGCTCCTTAAACTTGGGGGGGGGGGGGGCGGGGGGGGGGGGGATGAAGGAACGCAAAAAAGAAGTGACTACTGCGGGGCTGTAAACGAGTGGGATCCTGTTCAGTCTGCAAATCGAGCCGCGCCGCCAGTTCAGGTTACTGCTGTTGCCACTGTTCTGACAAAGCTGAAGTTAATTATTTTTATACTTGAAACAAACCTATGATAATTAGTGCGTATCTACAACACGAGCGAGCACGGGAAGCGAATAAATAAATAAATAAAGATCATCTGTCTGCCGCATCCCTGAATGTCAGAAATGTGTACTTTCATTGCCTGAGTCCATAGCAACACAAGGTTGTTTGTTTCCATGCTCATAGCAGGAGCTGTGTCACAAGATGTCTCACAAGATGTCAAAATAGGAGCGCTCATTCTTTCATCAAATAAAAGACAGCAGGAGCTGGTACAGTTCCTCCAGTATGACATGATATATTGTAATTCATTATTCTGTGTGTAATTTTTTTCTCCAGTCATGGGGACTGACTGAAAATGCTCTCCTGTGAATACAAAATCAACCTGAGCTTCAGCTGCATTTATTCCGCCAAAAAGAAAAAGCATGACGTGAAGTTTTAGCACAGCGTTCGCACAAGTTTTCTTCCACTGTTTAGTCCTTGAGCAGCCTCACCTGAAATCCTAATTATGACCAACATGTTATTGTTTGTAATTGAACACAACGCTCCAGGCTTGGTCATCAGTCAGTCTCATTCACTTTCAGTCACACAGAAAAAAGCAAATAGTTCTCTCTCTCTTATTTTTTTCCCTTCTCTCGGCGCACTGAGGCAGGAAAAATATTGCTTTGCGGTTAACTTCTAATCAAATTGCATTAGGTTTTCACAGCCTGTGCCCTCACTCCATTTGCACAAGCCATCACAGACCTACATGAATTTCGCACCCAGGGTGAGGAATACTTACTTCTTCACCCCCAGTAGATTCCCCTTAACCCAACACACACTGGGCACACACATACACACACATTTTGCGATCAGACAAGCATGATCGTGCAGTTACAGCACAGCAGTAAATCATTTTATTTGCAGCAAGTGTGGTTTTAATGACATTTCACATGCTCTCATGTTATTTTTACCTGCTTCTGAAATGGACTCGCTGGAACTGCCATTGTTATATCAGTTTTAGAGCGTTGCACTTTCACAGAAAACAACCCTCATCTATAATCACGTCCTATTTGTCATCACACGGAAACCACGACACGCTATGCAAGTGAATGCAGACGACTGCTAACACGACACAGAGCAGGATTCGACTGCCAGCGATGGGAAGTAAAAAGCAATCTGAAGCTCTTACATTAATTCTAAGTGTTATATAGCCATTAAATGGATATTCATCATGCCGGCATTGCCATTCATTGAGATCTATGAAATTATTGAAAATTTAACAGATGACAAAAGGACTGTATAATTAATTAAGGCTTAATTATGTATGGATGGAAAGGAATGGAATATCCTCATTATAATTAACCTGGGATGCACATCCTATAGGCTGCTTCCTCATAAATCTTCTGCTTTTTTTGGGGTGTGTTTTTTTGCCTGTGAGGCACAAAGCTGTGTGACGCTCTGTGGTGTTTTCTGCATGAAACAAGTCTAAGGCGGGGGCTGATTGAAAATATACCTCAGCATGTGTGCGTGTGCATCTCTAAGTGTGTGAAAGTTCATGTTGGATGCAGCAAAAGGGAGAAAGTAACAAGTACTCAAGCACTCTGTTAAAGTGCAACTTTGAGATTCTGGCATTTTCCATCATTGCAGACTCTTAGTGCATTTCTTATGGATATCTTACTTGGAGGCAGTAATATGATGGCTGTACATTCAAGCTGCCATGAGCATTCAGAGTCTTTGCTAGCTCATCAAATGTCACTGCTGTCAATTAAAAATAAAAACAAACAACAGAAAATGATCTAAAAAAGCAGCTTTGCATATCTAATAATGGCAGGTTATATTTTTGACAAGAGGAATGTGCTTGTTCAGTTTATCCAGAACGATGAAAACATTAAAAAACTTTTTTTATGATTATTTTTGTGACAGCTAAAATAAATGGGCGAGTATCAAAATAAAACGAATTTGCTAGTATCAGGTGACAGATCAGTCGTTTAAAAGCAGAAAAGTTCAGCTTTCCCCGGTCCCCATCTTCTTCCCCATTAAGCTTTTGATTCACCGTAAACTGTTTTGGATCCATTGATTGGACCAAAACTAGAAGAAGTGAAAATGTCACCTTGGCATTTCTCATGTTTGATAAACCGGCTGGTTGATTGATTGATTCGCTGAGAAAACAGCCCACTCCTAATAAACTGCTAAATAATACATAAGTTGAAAGCTGGGTGAGTTTAAAATGCAGGTGGGTGTTTGTGTACTTTTTGAAAAAGTCTGAGGTGCTGCTTGACTGAAGGGTTCCCTTTGTGTGTGTGTGTGTGTGTGTGTGTGTGTGTGTGTGTGTGTCTGTGTGTGTGTGTGTGAGTCAGTGTGTGGTGACTGTGGAAGAGAGAGAGAATGGGTTGGGAGGGTTTGACGGGAAATAAGGGAGTTTTCAGATGACAGAGAAGGAGGGACTCGTGAGGGTGGGGGGGGTGCAAGGGGAGACATGAGGGGGGTCTTAAAGAAAGAGCTGGGGTGGGGTGCACTTGTGTGTGGGAGGAGGTGAAGGAGGAGGAGGAAGAGGAGGAGGGGAGGGAGGATGTTGCTGGAGGGGAAGGGAGGAAGTGGTGGTGGGAGGGTGGTTGGCTCAGGAGGGGAAGGTGGAGTGGGTGGAAAGAGGGAGAAGGGATGGGGGGGAGGGGGGGTATCTCAGGGGCGGAGCTGCAGACAGTATCCCCCGCCCTCGCGCTCGTCCGCGAGCCCCTCACAATTACCTGTTCCACCAGAACTGACGCGAGCGCGAGTTGGCGAGCACATGCCACGCTGGAACAAGAGCCAAAAAGAAGTGAAACTGCGGCTGTGCAGCACCAGGCTCCCGAGGACGATTTAGATCAATCCACCAAAAAAACACGCAAAACAAAAAAACTCAAACCAAACTGTGTGTGCGTTTTAAACAAACCTCTGGAAGAGCCCACTGAGGATCTGTGAAACTCGCAAGGATGCACTTGTTGTCCGCCGGCTACGCGTCTGCCCTCCTCCTCATCGCGCTTCTCAGCCAAGGTAAGCTATTGTCTCACCGAGCGGGCGGCTGTGGCGCTGGAAGCCGCAGGTACGAGGGGAAAGTCCCGTACCTGCAGCACGCAGGTGCCTCCAAAACTTCAGCCCGGGCTTATCGATCACATTCCCGGGGAGAGAAGGAAACAGGAATGTGGGTGTTTCGTAGTTATAAGTTAGTAGCCTGCAGTACAGTTTTATGTAGTAGCATGTGATTCACCAGGCTACTAACACGTCCCCTTTCTTTAAGAAAAGAAACTAAATGGGCTTCCTATGAGCCACAAACTTCGTGACCTCCTCTCTCCATTGTGTTAAATTCTGAACCACCTAAGTATGTAATCTGTTTAAAATAAAATTAATTACTAAGTAGTTTCCTACAACTCCTCACCTCGAGGTAAAACTGTCCTCCGCATTCAGCTCATGTCTTTAAAAGTGACTTTTCTTCTCTATAAACTGCCCATTGTGAGGTGGTCATCCTCACCCAGTGTTAACATGTGCTCAAGCCATGATGTCATAACCACCACCATGTCTCTTTTTTTATGTGCGTGTGTGTGTTCTGTTAACACGGGCTGCTGAGCAGAATGATGCTGGCTCACATCCTGTATGATTTATTTTAATTATGGGCTGTCTGTTAGGTGGAGGGAAGCACTTCTGACAGGCTCCTTCCAGTAATTACACTGGGATGTGGGCAGTTGTAATGGCTTGCACAAGTGATTAAGTTTTAGCAGAGAAATTTGGAACTTTCTGTGTGATTTCAGTGCAGCTGTTGTGCTTTCAGTGTTTTTTCTAAGCTGGATTTTCATGATTTCGCTATTCCCTCCCTCAAGGTGATGAAACCATGACAAAGGATGATTCTTTTTTTGAGAACGTGCTCTTGATGTTGGGCGTGGTATGTAGTGTGCTTGTAGATTTCCATACAGTCTCCTCTGTCACGCCAACAGGTAGCAGCGCCATGTGTTGGTGTCACTCAGCCAGGCCATAGGCAAATCCATAGGCTTTCAAGTGCTTCCTTGGGTAGGAAAGAGGCGGAGTGGCTCATATCACCCTGCTCCCCTTCACCTCGTCACACAACGGTGGCGCCTGTTGTTGTAAATTAACACCATACAGCACCTATCAGTCAAGCTCAGGTGGTTTGTTTGAGAGGAAACGAATGGGCTTTTTAAAGTGTTTTTACACGGCTGTGCCGCTGCAGTGCCGTGTGCTCAGAGCACTGGAGGAGAGTGCTCTGAGTGGGTAATGAGGGCAGACTTTACGGTTGTCCACGCTGCTGCGTATTTACACATGTGGCCTCAAGTGATGGTGAAAACATGCGTGTTTGCTTAGACCACAGTTGCCGTGAAGGAGAGAGGGCAAAAGGTGAAGCGAAACTTGTCCGGTTTTCTTTTGCCAATTTGCTCAGTGTGAGCAGAATCTGCCTGAAGGTGTTTATTGAGTTTTGGATTTGCAATAAAAACTGCATCAATACTTGTAATGAAAAAACAAGCCTGTGTTTTATTATATTTGCTTCGCTGAAGGCCGCGCCATGGCTGCTACCAGACACAACAGAAGGGGGGAGAGAGAGTCCTGAATTAGTCCTGGAACAAATATTCCAGAAAGATGCATCTGTTTTTTGTTCACCGCCTTGTCTCCACCCTTCCCCCACCACCACCGCCGCCACCCTCCTCACCTCCCCTCCTGAACAGACAGACAGTGCTCCGTGCCACAGCTGGTATTACTTGTCAGGCAAGTGGGGCTCTCCCCTTTTTTTTTTTTTTCTTGCTAATGGACTAATCTGTTGAGGGATGGGTGAGGGGGTGAAGGGGTCACCCAATTTCACCGGAGATGGGTTCACTCTCCTTTCTTTCATCTCTAACTAGGTTGTGTCAGGACTTGTCTCCTGAACGTTTTGATGTTAATTCCTGAGGAAAGAAAAAAAGAAAGAAAGCAGCTTTAATTGTATGTTTGAGATACATGTAAGATTTTGTACAAGTGTTCATTTGGGCGCTTGTGCACGTCTCATCTTGTTTATAGGCGGCTTCCTCTCGATGTTTGAAGACTGCTTGTGGTAGTTTCTCCTTTGAAAAGAGATTTCTTTGTGACTTGGAAAGTATTGTATCCCTTCATGCAAAATTCAGATGCATTGAAGGGAAGGACGACAACTCAAGCGAATCATGGCTTTGAATAGAAATCCTGCATCTGCACTTCACTTGCTGTCAATTTGAGGCCTAATCTCTTCGAGTGGCTGAGCCATTTGTTGATCAAAATCTGGAAATGGCCACGTTTTTGCAAATGTAGAGAACATAATCCCATTCTGTAATCAAAGTAGAGAAAATGCATGGGAAAAGAAGACAAGCTGCTAAATTTAAATGCCTAATTTGGACCATCATATAGGAGTAATCTGACTGGCAACATCTTAAGCCAATAAAGGGAGCAAACCTTCCATTCATCCATAATATATCTCACTTATTATAATAGGAATGCTTCAAATAGTCCCAAAAGAGATATCTATAAGTTATTATCCTGCTGGATGCTTAACCCGTATTTGGTGTCTCATAATGTCTCTCAAAAGGACTCTCAGTCGTATGTGTGGAGCCAAAGTGTGAAGTGGAATCTTTTCTGGTATCACACAGTTAGTGCTCTTGTGTTTCGGATGAAAAAGACCATTTTATTGAGTATAAAGTGAAGCAGATGCTATTACTCACCCAAGAAGCACAAAGCAAGTGAGATATAAGAAAGAGACAGATGTTCACACAAGAGACTTAGGTTTCTGTGCGCTTGTTTGTGTGCATCATGTGCTCCTCGGGTCTCGATCAGAATAAGAAGTGGAAGTTTGAGCAGCAGGCAGAGCTGCTGCTGCTGCTGATGGAGAGGAGGGGAAAAAACAAAACAAAAGGGCTCCTCAAACAAGAGAGGGCCGTTTAGACAGGCGAGGTCATACTGTAAATTAGAGCCGCATTATGGTGGAGAGGCCAGTGTCACTTCCCAACGGGGGGTGCAGAATTCCTAACAGCGCCCCTGGCAGCAGGCCTTTATAGCGGGGATGTGAGGATCTCTCTGGAATAAGCAGTCACAACTTTTTAAACGACGTTTTAAATTCCAAAATAACTAAAAATAAAGATGGAAGTTTTGCGTGAAACTTAAAATAACCCGGGGTTACGATGAAATTAAAGCTGTTAGAGTCTTTGATGTGTCACGAAAGAGCAAAGAGCAGGGTTTCATTGCAAATCTTAAACTAGGAAAGCTCACATAAAAGGCGATCATTAACCTGCTCTACTTCTGTGAGAGGAAGAAAAAAAAAGGCTTTGGATGTTACAGTTTCTAAGAAACCAGGCCGGTGCATTAGCTTGTCCCCAGAGAAACGATGCTTATGACAAATGTGCATCCGTACCATATGGCGTGGTGCATTGAGCCTACCCACATACAGTACACCGAGAGCTTTAGTGCTCAGTGGTGCAAAAAAGAGCTCGGCTATTTGTATTTCTAATGTAGTGCAGTTCGATAGAAACAGTGTAATACAAATTTCTTTTTGGTCTTTGTCTGCTCTGCCCCCTCACGCAGAGGGTTGCAGCGGTGCACACACACACACACACACACACACACACACACACAGAGGCGCACTCCAACCACACTCTGGTTTCTCTCGGCCCCCAGCAGGACACTGAACAGGTGGAGGAGTGCGGGGAGGAAGGGGGGTGGTCTTTTTATGATTCCTGTTTGTGTGTACAGTTGCCGCAAGAACAGCTTGTTCCTGTCTCTAAGCTTAATGATAACTTTTTCAATCTGCAGTCCTATTATTCACTTAAAGATTTTTGCAATACTTTTAATTCCTTCTAAAATGTGATTGCCAAACCAAACGTCACCTTCAGATTAGATGTAGCGCGACAGCGTCGAGAAATATGGGTGAGTGCGTGAACATGCTGAGCTTCCTACATGTCAGACAGAGCAATTCCCTCTCTGCTGGACTGGCCAAGCTGGGAGATGTATGAGTGGCTTTGCCTTGAGAAAATGAAAGGACTTGGGTGGCAGAAGTAATCACTCTCAGGCAATGACTCAATGAGGAAAAAGGTCTTTTGTTCGCCTGTGACAGTTTTACACAAGGGATTATCAGTAAAACAGCAGCAAGTGAATCTTAATTACACTTTGGTGATTGGCTTGCCCTACTTTCGGAGCCTGAGTGTGCGATATATTCCATTTTTATAATCTCAGCCAAAATTGCCTTTTCAGTTGTCCATTTCTTATTTCAATTAACTGCTCAGGTTCAGAAAATTGTTTAAATTTAGCACTTTATTGACTTTTTATACATTCCGCTTTACAACTCGCATGCTTACACTGAGTGAAATAAAGTGAGAGGAGTCTTTATGATACTTTACCAGACAGATTAATGTCTCATTTCCCCCCTTTTCTCTTGTTTGTCACTGTCGTTTAAATAATGGTTTATTTGTTATCTGAGAAGAGGCACCACAGTTCCATTGTTTCAGTTATAAAGGAAGACTTAACAACATGAGAGAGCGATAACTGTGCAATGCAGTGGTGCTTCTTCCTTATTTATGCAGGAAAGCCCCCATTGATGTGCACGAAGCCACTCGTGGTTTTGGTGAACAAGGAGTGGCACCCCAGATTGGTCCTTGGGTCGGGGACTAAAAGTGAGGTTGTTTCGGTCTTTAGTCATCGAAGCATCCCTCAGCTTTCACTGGATTCCTGTGGTCTCCCACTGACTGTATTGTGACGCTTGCTCTTTTTAAACAAATGAGTGTATGATAGCGACTTCTTGCTCCCGCTGCTGTCTTTGTCATTAATATGGAACAGCACACACCCCTCAGAGAGGGCACAGAGTTGCTGCTGTCGGTCCCAGCACTTCACATGTGCAACCTGACTGGGGGGAAGCGTCTCCCCTCCATTTGAAAAGCCTGTGGCCACACCCATCTTTAACAGGGCCTGGATCTTTGTTCAAATCCTCCATTAGCGTTATTGCTCTGTTTTAATGAATTCTTTGAGTGGCACCCCCTCTCCCATTAACTGTGATGTTA